TTCTTCACCACGACGGACCGGTACATCGACCGCATTACTGCAGAAGCTGCACCGATCCGCCTGTCAATCTCCCGTTCCATCCTTCCCTCACTCGTGAACAAGACCCCACGATACTTGAACTCCTCCACTTGAGGCAGGAACTCTCCACCAATTTTTTTTTCCAAAGGGTTGATAGTCACGTTTCGCCGTGTCTGTCACTGCCTCATGCTATTATCCTGCTTTATGCATGGATTAACCTGTAGAACCAGTCGGTCAGTACTTTCCTGTCAGACGGTTCTAACTCGGCGCTACCACCCAATGAAAATTAAAATGAGCTTAAGGCGTCTAATTCCTGCAGTTAAGGTAAACATACAACGTTAACACAAGGCAAAGCGGGAAATTTCTTTAAATTGCAAAACACTGACGTACAAATTGTGTAATAATTAAAATTCTTGAGGCACAACAGAATGACACTACAAGAAACACGATAAAATGTGAAATTGTCTGGACGTGGGTGATTAGCTAAACGACACAATTCCAAGAAATACACGGAGCCATTCCTTACCGTTCTCTAGGACATCTGTTGCCAGTGTAGCTTGACGGTAACAATCGTTTCCTTGCCTCTTTGCCTTTTAAATCACGTATTTTCCAGATGGAGGCGTTGTTCCCTTGACCGACAGCGGTTGGTGATAATCGTGAAAATATAAGCTATAAATGAGAATTTCCAAACTGCATCCGCCTGCTGCTGTGATACGTTCGCCGACTGAGAGTCACTGCATCAGCCGCCGTTAATGATGACCAGCTAGCTAGCTACACAGCTAGCCGCCTATCTGTCAAACACTGGCTTTAGACTGAGCCATTCTAGAAGAGGCTGTTCTCCTGTACGTCCATGGCGGTAGGAACGCTCCCCGTCAAACTAACTCGATAGCGGTTTCATGGAGATAAATTAAAAGTTGACTAGTCGCCCCTGAAGGTGGCAGCTCGCTGGTCCACACTGGCTAGATGACACACTGACTGCGCGGAACGCGAAAATGGCGTTTCCCAATGCACCCCCCACTCTTCCTGGGTAATGATGTCACCCCTGCCCGGATTAAAGAGGAAGCTGTGGCGCGAGTCGAGCAGCCAGATTTATTTAACGCAAAACTCAAGGATGGATTACCGACTGCCCTAAAGGGCACCGGCCCAGGGGCCCAAGAGACCCCCGGGCCCCCTCTGTTTTAAAGCTCATTTAAAATGTACAAAAGAGACTCAAAACAATCATAAAGACAAAAATTGTCATTAAAACAAAATTATTTCAAAGAAATCAAAAATGACTTACATTTTTTTACAGGATTTACAGAAAAATGACCATAAAAATACACAAAACTACTTCAATGGTAAAAAAAATTGCCATAAAGATACAAAATTACTTTAAAAAGATGTTGAAAATCACAAACATTACTTCAAAATGATGATGAATGGCAATAAAAAGGGAATAAGCGGTGTGGATAACAGATGGATGGAAGACATTTATATAAATTGATGTTCCAGGTTAATGCCCTGCTCATGGGAAGCTTCTAATCCTTTCCTGTGTAATTAGAAGAAACATGTAGAGACTGAATAAATGAAAACACAAATGGTGATTCTTGTCCGTCTCCAAGTCACTTAAGATTTAATTAAAATCAACCACAAATCAGGACTTAAAGAGATGGTAATACAAAAATACACGCAAATAAGAGTAAAATGCACTAAAACAAATTCAACACTTGACAGAGGAGTGGGTAAATATAGTTTACTCTCAGGTGGTAGGAGTGCTGTTTTTCCTGCTGTTTTGTCGATTAGTGACAGTCCTCCACATTTTGTTCAGGGCAACTCGGGCCATGAGCAACGTTATGGTGAGGTTTCTTCTGTACCATTCCCTGTTTATGAAAAGGAGGGGGAAAAGAATTAGATGAATTATGTTCAATTTAAATGCATCTTTAACACATTCAGCAGCACTGTAATAAACAACAACATATGAAGTGTCATTCAATTTTAGAAATAATCACAGCTTAATATAAGAAATTAAGCTCATTTTGAGTTTGTATGTGAAGCCAAAAATGTAAAAACTGGACAGAAGAAGAACAGTAACACCTAGAAGGATGGCTACCTCATTCATGTTGGTAGCACATAAATGATAACTGAGAAGCTGACATTTTAACTGAATGTAGATAAAAATCATCTGTATTTTGTCCAATAATACTGCAGCCAGGAACAGAGTAAATTGTTTTATCAAGACTTATGTTTTTTTTGTTTTGGATGCTCATTATAAAGATTTTCAACAACTGAGCAAACAACGCAGTATACCTGGGGAAAAGTTTCTTTCTTCTTTGATTTACTCTGACAAGACAATTAAAAGAAGTAACAACGATGCAGTTGTAGAATGAAAAATTTAAATCCCACACTGAAAAAAAGCTGTTGCAGAAGTGATGTGTGTGTGTGTGTGTGTGTGTGTGTGTGTGTGTGTGTGTGTGTGTGTGCAAGAGCTTTTTCTGTAAGGAGGATTCACCAGCCTAAGAACAAATCAGCCACTTTGCAATGTAAACTCACACCAAGCTTTTCAGAGCCCGTTTGTTGTCTATACACAAGGTGATAAACTGTATACCAGTGTCGGTTAAAGCCCACAGCTCCCGTGGAGGAAAATGTACCCACCCAGCCAGCAGTGCCATGGGAGATACCCAGCAGCAAAACAACTCACTTGTTGTAATTTGCATGTCGTATTCTGTTTTTGTCCAGGAAGCTTTTGTAAAACACTGCCATTTCTTCACTGTTGAGAGAGCGGCACCGTCCTGAGGGGGAGTGAGAAGACACCGCAGACCAAGTTAGACTCTCATTAAGTTTTCTTTACAATCATCAGATGTTTTTGAAGTGTTTTAGAGTCTAACGGGGCCTGACAGACAAAACCGGCTCATACATTTTGAACTTATTCCTAATGCAGAAGCAGTTTGCAGGAGTTTTATTCCCTTCAGGAAGTTAATCTTCTTTTCTCCATAACACCTGAATGCAGGAGAATGTTTGGTTTTCATAACAGTCTCCACCAGTGGATAAATATACAGAGAAGAGCTGCATGTCCTCACCTTGCTCGTCACGCAGAGTCAATCCTTTTGCCTCCAGCTGAGAGATGATGAAAGCATCCTTTTCCTGCAAGAAGCATACAAAACCTGGCATGTTTCTTCCTTTAGATTTTATAAAATATGCAAACACAGAGCCAACATGTAACACAATAACCCAACAACAACAATTAAAAACCTAAATAGATACTTCAGTCTAAACAAATTAACAATCTAAAACAATTTAATATTCCTTTCTCTTTCTCTTCAGAGTAAGGCTGGAACAGAGTGAGCACAGAGCACAATGTAAGGGTTCAGTCATTTTAAACAAGTGAGCAGACCAGTCTTAAACTGATGGAGTGATGCTTTCTCTCAGCTCTCACACACCTTCTGGCAACAGTAGACACAACAGACAACCATTTGTTATGCTGTTGTTTAGACACTGACCGAACCCCTCCATATAAAATACAGAAATCAGGCTTAATATATAATATTTTTCCTATAGCACCAATTTCTTTGAATACATCAACCCAGAATGTTTTCAGCAGCAACATATTTCTATAAAATAAAAAAGTTGGTTTTAAAAATATATTCTATATTAAATACTGTCAAACTCTAGTGACAAATATTTTAGCTTGACGTGGTCATGTATTGTTTCATGAGCTTCCTTTGCTGCTTTCAGGGCGTCTTTATCCTTTATCTGCTTGTAACTGCTTTGCCAAGTTGTTCTATATGATTAGTAAACACGCCATGTTTCACCAACCCCACTCTCCTCGTGTCACTTATGTCATTCTGTGTGCTTTATGTGTGTGTCCTATATGAGCTGACATCCCAGACTAATTGCCCCTGGTGGAATTAAAAAAGTTGTTTTTGTTTTTGATGGTAGGCTATTTAATCACTGGTGTGAGCTACCAATTTGTGATGCCACAATAAAGTCTTGTGTGCGATGCTGCTCTCTGTTGGTCAGAATGAGAACTTTTCCCACATCAGCAGGCAGAGGACACGAACATTCACTCTCATTAGAGACTTGGTTATTAATGATGAAAATGCTAATGTGATATTAATCCTTCTCTGCTCAGCTACAGCTCTGGTACAGACTCTGGCACATCAGTAGGGTGATGTCTGCTGACTCAGGGGCTTCGCTCCAGTTCATCTGGTTAGGGACACACTGTTCACGTTCACACAGTTACACCTGGACACTGCCCAGTACAAGCACTGGAGCAGTTGGGGCACCAGCGTGGTGCTAATGAGGGTGAGGCGAGCACTGCTTTGTCACCTGTCTCACCCAGATTTAACCCTGCCTGCCCAGGGACTGAACCAGCGACCTTCCCTGAAGATGTCCTGAAACAAGTAGGTAATTATTCATTGATGGATGTAAAAATAATTAGCAACGTTGTCACTTTGGCTCAATAACAAATGATCAAATATTAACCAGCCACTGGCTCCAGATTCTCATACATCTCATTTCCCCGTCCAGATCACTGTAAATTAAATGTAATGGACTGTTTGAGGACACCACATCACTTTGCATTTCCTCTGTGAATATTATGCTGCGAATCTTTGACCCGCCTGTAGCAGAGCATAGGATTAAAAAGACATCTACATTAACTGCAGACTTCTGTTCCAGCTGAAAAAACATTTTAACCTTGCTGAATGAGAGGTTCTGCTTAGTCCAGAAGTCGTGGTTCCAGTCCTCCGTCTCCTGCCTCAGGTGTCTCAGCCGTTTCTCCAGCTCTGATTCGTTCTCAGGCACGTGGTAAATGATCAACGGCAGGTTTGACAGAGGGTTTGGTGGACCGACCCAGTCGTGTGTGGAGCTGGCTGCTGGTCTGAAGGTAGACTTCTAAAAGAAGAACCAGAAATATCATGTAAAGCATCTTGTTACCTACATGTACGATTTTTGAGGTGAGATATTACCAATAACTTCAGCTTTTCACTGTGGCGCCGTTTTCTTGGCAGCATCCATCCTGAGGAATAATTAAAAACCTTCTCAACAGCGGAGATAAGGGTTGTAACTAACCTTTTTGTTTGCTTATAAAATGTTTGAAAACAGTGAAAAACGTTAACCCCCATTTCCCAGAGCTCATCTATTTGCACAAGTGATGATACATTATCAGAAATTTGCTCACACTCATATTTAACACACAATATAAATATTTTTCTCCCTCTTTCCAGCAAAGTGTTTGGAAGTGAGCTGATAGCTGAGAGACACCATGTCCTGCCCCACTGTCACTGGGTGGAAAATCTTAGTTAATGCCCCTTTAAGGAAGAAGTATGAGGATATATATATATACAACTTCTTTAGACTCCATTCAAATGATTTCACTTCCAACATTATAAATTGACGTATTCCCTTAACCTCTTAATACAACACAGCTCTCATTTGGATTCCTAAACTAATTGAAACTTGTATATCTACTAAATACAAACATTTTCATCCTCAGGTTGCTTCTTTTTCTCCACAAAACCCCCTGGCAGGCAGGGTACCACTCTGTAAAACTGTCAGGAAGGAAAAGGTTTCATTTTAACACGCGAGTCAACAGCAGACATCTGCACACAGATGGAGGTCAGGTGGATTAAAAAGCAGCTGACTTACAGGAGTCTGCTTATCATTTCTAACCAGACGGCACAATGAGAAGAGCAGTGAGGAAACAAACACAATCCAGGACTCAGAGACCAGAGCACAGGTACACACAACTGTAAAACAATGGTTCATTAAGTCACTGAAATCCTGTAAATACACAAATTAAAACATACAGCAGCTTCACAAATGATTCAGACACCTAACAATTTGCAGACTTGATTATGCTCAATATTTAATTGCAAATGGATAAAGTTTGTTTTTCCCCATCAATCTGCACTCAACTTAAAAGACATTTGTTTCAATAACTGAAATCATTTATAAATATATTCTGACCTAATTCAGGACTTTGTACTAGAAGCATGCAATTACAGCTTCTGTGCTCTGAGTGAGTCTCTACAAACTCCACACACACCTTGATTCCATCACATTAGATGGAAAACGTCTGAACTCTCTAGATGTTATATGGAGTCAAGTCTGGGCCCCTCACCATTCAGAGACTGGAGCCCCTCCAGGGTCGTCTTAGCTGCATGCTTCAGGTCACTGTGGTGCTGAGAGGTGAACTGTCACCCCAGTCTCAGGTTTTCTTCAAGCCCTGTTCTGTGTTTGGCTGCAATCATCCTTCCCTCAGTTCTGACCAGTCTCCCTGTCCCTGCTGCTGAGAAGCCCCCATAGCGCGATGCTGCCCCCACCATGCTTCGCTGTAGGGATGGTATTAGCAGATGATGAACAATGCCTGGTGTTCTCAGACACAGCGCCTGGAGTTCAGCCCAGAGAGCTCCGTTTTTGTCTCCTCAGGTCAGCGTATATTTCTCTTCCTGCTCTAAGAGTCCTTTAACTTCAGTTTGACAAACTCCAAGCAGCCTCATCTGCCTTTTAATCACAGTGGCTTCTGTTCAGCCACTCGACATTAAGGCCTGTGTGATGGAGAGCTGCTGAGACGGTCCTGCTTCGGGCAGGTTCTCCATTTATGAGAGGGACCGTTGGGTTCTTGGCTGCCTTACGAACCAAGACCCTTCTAGGAAGAGTCCTATTGGTTCCAGGCATCTTCCATTTCACAGTTATTCATACTTTTCCACAACCTGGCAACCCAAACGTTTGTCTTTTTAATGGCTTATAACCCATGTATAAGCCTAAGTATTTAATGATTAGCGATTAATAAAGCCACTAATAACAGCTTATAAACCCTTTATAAATGCACCTTATCAGAAAGTCCTTTTACTTGAGTGACATGTTGAATGCTTAGACTGAAAAACTCTTTTCTTTCCCTCTGCCATCAGTCTCCTAAACAGCTGACTCAGGATCTACCTCATGTAATTCCATCTGTACTGTTTACATACTCATTTTGCACATGCACATATTCCACACTCACTGCTGAGTATTTACACTCCACGACTCCCACGTACCATATATTCTCTCTGCATTATATTGTGTTCTTGTTGTATTTTTATTTGCTCCCTTCACCTGCTGCTTTAAAGTGCCTTAGATTTGTGTTATTGCTCATCTACTTTATATTTCACTTGTATTTTGTGGCATTCATGTGGACTGCAAAGTAAGAATTTCATTGTGCAGGGAAACACGTTTCCTACCTGTGCATATGACAAATAAACACTTTGACCTTGATCTTGAATGTTTGAATAAGTTGTAGCTGACATTACGCTCCCCGGAAGTCATTCAACTCGGAAATCTCCTGCAGCGGTGTAATATTAACGACTGCATAAACGTTTTAAAAGATTTACCATTTACTGTACAAACCTGTGCTATCTTGTCCTGCTGGGTTGCCTGTTTGGAGCTGCAGAAGCGACTGCTCACTGCCGATAAGCTGTGTGGTCGAAGAGGAGCATGGAGGGTGACAGGGGTGAAACTCCTCCATGTTAAACAGCCCATAGCTGCTGCTGCTGTTCGGGACGCCATTTTGATTAACCGACATTAAATGGCGTGTTTACATCGAGTCGGTATCCGTTACCGAGCTAAGCATCCTCCTGTTATTGTCAGTCCACGGGTCTTCTCGAGGAGCTCACGTCGTCCTTCTGTGCACAACCCGCAGCCCTGTCACGTGAATCCAGTAACAGAAAAGGGTGCGCTTCAAATGGTCCCCGGCACAGCCCCGGACGGAGCCTGTCGGGCGGGTTCTCCCCAGTTTATATTCACTGTGTTCGGTTCTATTCTGTAGTGGGAGAGACGTATTTATATATTTTAGTCAAATAAAAGCAATTCCGTATTTTACTGTATTATACATAGATGTAAACCTAAATAATCATATATATTTACATGACATTTATGGTTTACATCCAAATAGGCTGCTGTGCACACTGTATAATGGTAACACAACCCCAGCATTTCAGAGCAGAACAATTAATGAATAGGCTAGATTACAGGCAGGTTTATCTGTATAGTATCCCCATGTATTTTTATTTGAGCGGTACCGTTTTTCTAGAGAGTCCATAACATATATCAATAATCTTATCCACCCATACATCAGACACATCACCCATCGTGGCTGTGCTCTTACATCCGAGCAGATGCTTTGTGTTGCGTTACGATTTGTTGCAAACTGCAGTTTTCTTTATAACATCGGGGATGCAGAGCACATTAGTAAGGCCACTGTATGTAGAATAGTTCGGAAAGTGTGCCTCACCCTCAAGCGCTTTCTGCACATTTTTGTTGTGTTTCCTGGGCACAAACCCCTCAGAGCCATTAAAGAGGAGTTTCACAGGATTGCAGGTTAGTGGTATTGAATTCGTTTCAGTAAGGCTAATCTGAAAAATGATGATCAGTTAATAACATGCTGTGACCTCTGGAAATAAACTAATAATTAGAATCCCCTTCAGGATTTCCTAATGTGGTTGGATGCATTGATGGGACACATATTCCCATCCATGCACCTCTATGAAAATTAAAATTCAATTCTTATATTATTACATCAGTGTTGGGTCAATTTTTAAAAAAGTATTTTGATTAATGTAATAATTACTCTCCATAAAACGTATTGGATTATTTATTAATCATTACTTTACAAATCCCATATCAACCACAATAGGAATTTTAAGAAAGGGTAGACATAAAACTGCACTTTTAATTCGTACAAAAATCGGTATTTTATGCAATTACTGAAGTTACTCATTCAATTATTGAAGAATTAAGAACCATTCCTTACTTTACAAGTGACAAATAATGACAATACTAACATTATTTAGTAATTACTTACACCAAACACTGTATGAACTCTGAGTTTGCTAAACCTCCTTCTTGAAATAGGCCCCCGGTCTCCTCATATACCTAAGTGTCCCTGAGCAAGACACTGAACCCCAAATTGCTCCCAGTGGTTTGATTAGTGCCGTTGTGTGGCAGCCTGTCGTCTTCGCTGTGTGAATGGGTGAATAGTGTATGATCTTTTGTAAAGCGCTTTGGCCAGAGCAACACACTGTGAGAAAAGCGCTATATAAATACAGTCCATTTACCATTTTTATGCACAAAGGCGTTTCAAAATGCTTTGAAAACAAAATACGAGAAGACAACATGTAAATAAAATTAAGTTAGAAATATTAACTTTTAATAAAAAAGACATTAAGTGGTAGCGTACGTGTTCTTGGTGAAATGTATTTAAAATACATTTAACCTTTGTTTAACCAGGAAGTCTTTTGAGATAACCTATATATTATCCTGGGAAAAGTAAAAGTATTCACTATGCACACATAATGGGCTCTGCATAAACATATTGCTATACTATCAAATTATTATTTTTTATGTAGTAACATGTAAGCAGCATTTTATTCACAGATTAAAATGAGTCACTGCAGTAAGGATATTTTTGTTTATTGTCTGTAGCTTGAAACAAGAAAAGACAGAGAAGGTTGCTGCGATAAAGTCATAGAAACATGAAACTCAGTTTTGGAAAATATTTGAACCAACAAAGGCCAGAATATCTCTGAACTGGCAATTTTCACTTTTTTTTTTAAAGAAAGTAATTTTTTCAGTCAAGGACTCGTATTACTCAAGTAGATTTTGGTCTGAACAATTGTCAAAAGAATTTTCAAAGAAGCAACGAAGTCACTGGAATCTTTCAATAAGAGATTGGTTTACTTGCAGCAAGGAGACAAGTCGGCATGAGCATACAGAGTTGTCTGAATAAACTAGTCTAAACATCACAATATATAGGACAAAGGGAACTCCCCAAAGACGCATCCCAGGCGTTAATTGTCGTGGCAAGAGTGTGATACCGACTAAATTAATTCAGACAAACCATTACAATTTACAGGATCATTTAATATTACAATTATTCTGAATAGAGTAGTATTTAAACAGATAATCTTGTAGTTAGGGAACAGAGAACAGAGACTTTCCTCTTCCAATGGAATAGATAAAGCATAAGAAGATTGTCAGAGCACTAGTCAGTCAGGTCATTGGTTGTCGACCCCGAGTCAGTCAGCGTCTTCTCCAGCCGGCTGGGTCCCCAAAAGGTACATCGTCTACTGTTCACTGCAGCATGGTCCTCCTCACTCTCCCTCTCTCTCAGGCTCCCTATTTTATGCTGTTGCGTCTATTTCTGAACCTAGCTTCCAGTCTCCAGTTTCGGGAGACAACACCCTGAGATGTACTTCGAAAACAGGAAACATCTTGTTCCTGTTTTCCAACTCACATCGTCCAACTCACATGTACTTAATGAACCCATAACCACTCAGCTCAAATAAGTACAAATAATGTCTATATGTGAAGTACATACTGTTCTATTACATATTTGTTCTGGAATCTGATTTATTTTTAACCACCACATAATCCAGTTGAAAAGAAAATTCAAACAGGAAAAGTGAACTTGAGAGGCTTTGCCCTGATAACCCCTCAGACAATAAACAATATGTTGTCCATTCATCTTCACAATATATGGCAGGAAAGAGTTTATGGCTGGCTCCTTTAAGTCTGGAACGCCATCCGGCTGAACTTATAACAACACAGAGTACTGAAAACAAAGATAAAACATGTCCCTTCAGTTCACACATGCAGTGTCTCACAGGTCCCTGTGATCTGTAGTCTGTTCTGAACGTTTAAAATCCATTGAATAACATATGTTGGTTAATATAGCACAGTTTAAAACATACTTAATAATGTAATTTTCATGACATCAATGCATCACATTTCAGTAACTTAATAGATTCTATTTATTATATATTATATTGTACTTGAATCATACTACTCTATTTTACTACGTTTTACCTCAGAATTTATATGCCATACTGTTTCATTGTGTACTATGCATCTGTTATTGAATAGATCCGTTACTATGATATGTTACGTAACATAACGGCACGGCGTCATGAGGAAATGCAACGCACCCAATGTTGGACGACCAAAACTTATACATTAAGAACAGTTAAGTCGGTTATCGGCAAGATAACAGGTTTATATGTTTTATTCTGTGTCGATATCGGTGTATAACACGTTAGCTAAACATTCAGTGACAGTTTCTATTTGTCGAGTCAAAGAAACCTCGATAAAGCGGCTTTAATTCAACGTTATTCAACAAAGACAAACTCCTTGTTAGTTGAATACTCGTGAGCCGGAAAGTAAGTACTAGGAGGTAGAAGCTAGGTAGGCTAATGTTTAGCTTTAATCACAGGAGGTGTTGTTTTTTCCGCAGTTTTTTTTATGGCTATGCAGGTAAGAATTAAACTGTTAAAGTGCTGAGGGTGGAGTTGATGTATTATGACCAAAAAGCTGAAAATATTTTGCCAAGGTGGGGCAGAGTCAGGTGATCATCGGTAGGCTAGCTTGGAGCACACAATGGCATTTACACGGAGGTGGTAAGATGGGTTCGGGTGCTGCCTCGTTTAGATTGAAAACGTCTATTTAGGTATTCTGTAAGATTCAGTAACATTTCTATTTTAAATAAGTATTTCTAAAGCGACACTGGGTGGAGGAAGCCCCCTCAGAGAGTCTGTGGGAGGGGCGACACCAGCCCGACCGCAGTCAGTCCGACGTGAGGTGCGGAAGCGGACCGGGGTATCACCGCCTCCATCGAAATCTCTGATCCTGGGATTATCCGTTTGGATGCCAGTCTCCCCTCATCCCGCTTTGGCCGATGGAAACGGACATCTGTAAAAATGTGCGCGAATGTGTTCGGAGTTTTGAAAAGGTGAGACAAACGATGCTGCGAGATATGGCTGCTACACTGGTCTGTGTGCGGGTGTGAGAATGCAGCTGAAAGCTTCTGGAGATGCTTCAAGGTGCATGGGATGTGGTGTGGTATTTGGTGGTTCGGGTACAGCCGAGGTAATGAGCCTATTCACACCGAGGTCGATGCCTTTGCAACCAGGCGACCAAACAGAATTTTCCATGGTGACATAATGCGCAAAGCCGCGCAGGACCGGAGCAGGCAGCCTGAGGGTGTTTGAACGACCTGGGGAGGATTTAAGCAGGGTGTGCTGGTTGCATGTTACCTCCAGCTCACTTAGCCTTCATGGTGTGTGAGTCATGGGAGGGGAGGCTGATTCCTACTACAAAACCTATTCTTAGCTTGAAGACCATCGCATCAGCCGGAAGTCGGTCCATTTTCTTGTTCCTCTTGGATCCAACTCAGATGAGGTGTTTGCCATGCTGGCATAGATTTTGTTCAGATTATTTTAATAAACACTTACACTTGTAAACCCTGGCCCGGCATGGCTCAATCCCTTCTCTGGAAATGCCCTACCCCTCATCCTCTTGCATAAAAGTACTTTAGGGAGTGCTAATACACAATCCTGTCTATTCTAATAAGTGTTATCAATGATGTGAACAACAAAAGATCATATTGTGTACCACAGCATTTATTTGCAACAATCACATCATGCTTTCAGGCACCAGGACTTCAGCCTGTCTCACAATGCCTCCTCTTCCCAGAGCTGTTGCGTTGTAAAAACGCAGATCCTTTCTTTATCTTTATCCTGTTTTATTACCATTTACCTCACAGAGAAAGTCTGCTTCAATGTAGGCTGAGCATTTTTGGAAATCGTGGGAAGAATTACCTCAACATTTTTACTGATTTGTTTATCTCAGTTTTATAAATCCAAAGCAGAATTGTTTTAAGGCTTGAGGTCATTCTTTATATCAGTAGGCTGAAAGGTCCTTGTGGGCACAGGTCCATGGGAAAAAGGGTCAGGGGGCCCCTGGCACATAATGAGATCTACGGCTGCAACTGATGATCATTTCTTTATCGAGTAATGTGCCATTCATTTTCTCTACTTATCTGTGTGATTTATAAAATGTGAGAAAATAGTCCAAATGCCATCACCAGGTTTAGAGCCCAAAGTGAGGTCTCAAAAATGTCAGTCCAAGAACTAAAAATTAAGTTTACGATGATGTAAAACAGAAAAGCAGCAAATCGTCACATCGGAGAAGCTGGAATCAGCCACATTTTGGCATTTTGGCTCAAAAATATGATTGTCTCACAGCAAGAAGGTTCCGGGTTTGAGGTGGGATCTTTTCATGTGGATTAGAGTGCTATCACCATCATGTCAGCCATCAAGCCTGATAGAAGTGCACAGCAGTGCACTGAGTAGGTGTTTTTTTTTTGTTTGTTTGTTGAGATGAAATGCAGGTTAACCTAATTTGTTTTCATGCAGGTGTTTTTTTTTTGTTTGTTTGTTTGTTGAGATGAAATGCAGGTTAACCCAATTTTTTTTTTCATGTAAAATGGTAAGGCAGATTTTCACATGAAACATTCTGTGGACATTGTTCTTCTCTTGCATTTTGCTGGATTGTCATTTGGTTGATCTGAGTTCTGTCTAAAAAGAAATAAGAACAGGCCCAACAAAAGAGGTCAAGGTGAAGAAGAGACTCCTCTGCCTGCTGGTTTTGAACATACTCCAGACTGTACACCGTTTTCTCACACAGGCTCACTCCACCTCATTCGGCCCTGATGTGGACTAGGGAGAGTAAAGTCCGCCTAATGTCCGGATCAACTGACTCAGACATTTGCCTTCTAACATACCCACTGGGTAATGTCTGGGGAACTTCAGGGTTCCATTGCATGTCTGAAAGGGGCTAGGGAAATCATCAGTCAAAATAACTACATGGAGATGCAAAACGACAGACATAAAATGACTAAAGAGTGACGCGCAGCAAGGATGCAGAATTATAGAGACATGTTAATACTGCAAAGTGATGCAAAAACAACAAACATGTTTGTAGTTGCTTTGTGTCTTTAATAGCATGTATTAATACCAAGTGCTATTTTGACTGAAAAGTCAGTGGCTCTCTAATAATTCAACATTTCCTGTCAAAAATGTTTATATGTGTAATAAGAATATTGGCATCAGACATTTAGTATTATTAGAGGTACCAGCTTCAAAAACCCAGCAGTCAGACAGACTCCATCGCTGTGCAGTTTGACAAAAAGGCTGCAGTGAATTAGGAGCAAACCTCACAAGCTGTACCAAATGGTTGTTGCGGATTCAGCGAGTCGATGCTGGAGACCAGTGACAGAACAGTAGTGGAGCGTCAGGACACAGTCGATGGATTATTTTGATGTTTAATGCCGCTGTAGCACCCAGGATGGATTGTGACATGTTCTTGACAGAAGTGTCTGCAAATTGGAGATATACTCCTCGACCGATTGTTTTTCATCTGTCTTTTCCTCTTTGCCAGTGGGCGACAGTCTGAGACGCATCACTAACAGCCTTCAGGGCTGTGTCAGAAGGTTATGTTAGAAAGGCCTTTTCATCTTGTGCGCTTTGTTCCCACTAGAGATGTGGAGAAATACTTTTTCTTCCACATGATGCCAACCCAGAAATACAGTGATAAAGTAAAAAGACACCAGGCTGCCTATCAAGCTTTTCACTACAATAAACCAAAGCCAGACTTGAAATCCGCCTCCTGAGAGCTGAGAGTGTTTTTTATAATTATTTATAATGGATTACCTGATCCTGAATAGCCAAACATGGGATTTCCAAATCCAGATCAGTCTGATCCAGATTAACCCGCACCAGCCGTGTCATCCGCAGCACCCTGCCATGATGCGGCTGTATGAGGTCCAGAGGGAGGTGGCCTCGCTGGGGCCTCAGGTCTGCACCTTCAGCGGTCTGCAGAACGACCGCGACTACAAGCGCCTGGAGCGCGAGCTGACGCAGCTGCTGCTGGAGGTGGACCAGGTGGACACGGAGGGCAAACCGGAGCTGCAGGGAGCACGAAAGAGAGCAGCACAGGAAGTGGAGGGCCTCCTGCGGTACCTGGAGGAGAACGCCACTCATCCATCCCGTCTGGCCATCGAGGAGCTCAGTGACAAGGCGCGGCAGCTAGTGGATGGGCGTGTGGTGGCACCGCAACGTGCCGGTGGGGTAGCTGAAATAAATGACGAGCTGGTGGATGCACTGCAGGAGCTCGTGCTGAGGCTCACCCAGATCAAGACTGAAGGGAGGGTGCCGCTCCGCAAAGCCCGCTACCGGGCGCTGACACGTCTGTGTGCCGTCCAGGATGTGATCGAAGGGCGCACACAGCAGCAGACCCTCTCCCTGCCGCTCTCTGGTGACACCCATGAGGCGGTGCACTGCATCAACCAGGTGATGGTGAAGGTGAGCGTGGCTCGCAGTCAGCTGGTGGCTCTGCTCATGGGCCTGAGTGGGAGGGACAGCTGCGCCCACCTGTCACGAATCCTGACCGAAATGCAGGTAGAGCTGGATGCGCTGGATGTTTCTGGGAATGCAGCAATCAGAAATTACAGGAAACAGGTTGTGGAGGAGATAAACGGGTTGCTGAAACATCTGGACCTGGAGGGGGAGGGAGACGACACACGCAGGTAGGTACACAGGATGGAGCTGTGCAGGTTACGGCTGCAAATAAAGATCAATTTCCATTAACCATTTTAATTTGGAAAATAAGGAAAAAGCTATTATAATTTTACAAAGTCCAAGATAAGATCTTGTTTTGTGAGCAGCAGTTCTGAAACAAACATATGGACTTTCATTATTAAAGAGAGAAAACCAGTAAATATTGAGATGTAGGGTTAATTGATTATCAAATTATTTCATATTGGATCAGTAGATCCAGCCCCCTTTCTCTAGGCTACTTCATAATGTGTCTGTACATGTACTACTGTTACTGCACCACCGGCGTAGATGTTGAATTGTGGGAGGGACCGGGGATTGTTGTTTCATTTTGACTTGAATCTGCACAGTGGGCAGTGAATTGGAGTCACTTCACCAGAGAATCACTAATTACCATTTTTCAGGGGCAGTATGCCTTCGGTGTACTCCATTATGTTGAGCAGTACAGCAGCCTCGAGCACAGATTCAAGTACCACTCTGTTTTGAGATTTACATGAAATCCACTAAAAGCCTCATAACATTAAGAAACCTTACTGAAATAGAAAACATGTTTATGCTTTTATGCACTCGTTTTACATTTCAGCATTAACCAGAATCAAACAATACTGCCTTCCTAAAACTGAGTACAATAAAGAACCTATCAAAAACAATCAACTGCCTTCCTAAAACTGAGTACAATAAGGAACCTATCAAAAATAATCCATTTAAAGGTTGATCCTGATCTTAGCACACATTTATTACCTGACTTGTGCTTATTTTGATGGCACACTGTCATTCGAAGGACCTGAGGCTGGCTGGTAATTCAGTCCTAATGAATTTTAGCTAAATTGTACCAAAATGATGATTTTTTTTAAAGCAGTATATTAAGAGCAGTCAGTTTGAGAGCGATAGCAGAGACTCATCCTATTTTTGGTCATTTGATTGTACCTTTTAAATTGCTAAAGTTTTATTATGTTACCTGCTATATTGTGATTCACCTGACATCTTAATTGGTTGTCTTATTATAAAATAAGTGCTTACTACACCTGTTTTTCCAGGTATGACTTGGCACAGAACAACTCTATCCGTGAGATCGAGGCCGTGCGAGCTCATGTCTCCCACCTGCGAGAGGGCGTCCTTCGACACTGTGTGGTGGGAGATCTCAGCTTCAGACCCAAAGCCGAGCTGCAGAGTCTTCTCACTCACCTGGACCAGGTAGACACAGCCAAGAACCCGTGCATAAGAGAGGCCCGTCGCCGCGCTGTGGTGGAGGTCCAGGCCATCATTACCTTCTTGGATCTCCGCGAGGCCCTGGTTTGCCGCCAGCCGGGTCCCAACGAGCACCCGTCACACCGAGCCGTGTGGTTCGGTCTGGGGAGCCTCTCGGACCTGGAG